ATTGATTTTGAATTTTTAGGATGATAATTCATTGGGAGGCACGAGAAAAACCTGGCATCAAGGAGCTGGCGGTGGCGGAACAATCGCCAGCTCTACAGACACTATCCCTAGGAAATCTGGTTGGCAGAAGGGCGCAAGAGATGAAGCCCAGCGAAAGGTGAGTTAAGCCATTGAAACTCTAGTCTTGCAGTATCAAAATAAAAGCTTTTAAAGCATTCAGTTCCGGCGTCACTATCCTTTGCAAACTTCGGTGGCAAAAAATATGAGAAAGTTGGCACTGGATTTTGGAATCGATGGACTGACCCTCGGTGTTGTATCAGATGTACTATATGTCTTGATTTCAGAACTCAAGAGACGTTACCGATGAGAAAGCCGCATCTTTGGCAGCTGCTAAGACGATCTGTTCTGGGAAAACTGAGTCTACTCCTGTCAGTTTGTCTTTTCAAATCCTAAATTTCTCTGTCTCCGATTTGCACTGATATCTGTCCAACCTTTTCTCTTTGCATCAGCTTCATTATAGTATTTGAGTTAATAGGATATCAGAAGTAGGTGCTTCTTGTTATGGGGTTTCTCTCTGTGTATCGTGTTTTTTTTTTCAGGAAACTGACTCGGAAGAGGTTAAAGCGGCTCTCGAAGAAAAGTACCAGAAAATTGGCAAGGAAATTGGTGCAATTTTGGAAAGCTACGATGAAGGGGATATGAAACTCGATGAAGTTCGTTGGAAAAGATAAATTTTCTTCCATTCTCGTTCATCTTGATCATGTAAAAATTTTTTTTTGTACAGTGCGTCCAAGATATCTTCAAAATTGCCTCCGGTGAGAAGTTTGGATGCCCAAATATCAACGAAATATTCTTCCGATTCACTGAATATGCTGTTGAAAAGGTAATTTGACAGCTTCATTCTTCATGAGTTTATTGTAATTGTGTGTATTAAAGGTTCGAAAACCTCAACTCCCCAAACTTGGATTTATGTTGTGTCTTGCACTGCAAGACAAAGAGAAGAAGCCCGAAGCTTTGGCAGGGTAAATAATTACAGCTGCCTTTCTGTAAACATTCAAACAATATGTGTTGTTTCTTTTTATTCTAGAATGTCGCGGTACTGCACATTGGCTGTCGAAGCTGATATGTGGATGGATATTCCTGACATCTGGAGCAAATTAGCTGACGTAAATAAGCATCTGGCCAAGTTTGCCATGTACCAGTCATGCTTTTTTTAGTTATTGGTGAATGCCGTGTACTGCGATCAAAATCTAACATCCGGCTTGCGACCATCTTTCAAAGATTTTACGACTGTGTTCTTGGAAGCATCAAAAGACGACCGAAAGGACAAGTCCTTTGAATTGCTGGTTATATCACTTAAGAGAATGGTACGTTTAGATTTCTTTTTTCTTTTCATCTTTCAAAAGTTAATTTCTTGTTGGCAGTTTGTTGTAAAACTACCACAATCTAACTTCTCTTTATCCTTTCTTGATCCCAGACATTTGGTTCGGATTGTCTAATAATGTAATACCAAAAAATTCGAGTATCGGAAAAATCATATTTTAAGGTTCTAGAACACACCTCTTATTTTTTTCTACTTTGAATAATCTTGTACTCTAACATTCTTACTTTTTGTTTTCCTCACTTTAGCCACCAAGGAAGAGTTTATCTTTGACTAAATACAAAAACTATAGAGGAGCTCTTGGTCACCGTGGTTTTTTTCTGATGACAAGGTTTTTGAGAATTGGCTATCTTTTATGCACTGATTTTAGTAGAAATGTTATGATATCTTTTGTAAAGGAGCGTATTGCAGTCATGTAACTTAGACAAATCAGCATTTTAAGTCATACAACAGTGATATAATTTGATCATCTGACTACTGGCTTGGCATCATTCCCTGGTTACTTCAAGCTTGTGTCGTACGCAGTCGCTCAGATATAAAATAGCTTGCTTAATACTTGCGATTCCTTCATTCAACTTTTTTTTTCAAGATCATTATTATTTTACAATTTTTATCGAATGAATCATAGAGCCTTATTCTTAGGCGGAGATGAATGCAAAAGTGGATGCTAACGATCATGCAACGATGTCATCGTTTGTCTATCAGAAAGAGGTGTTGCCATTCCTCCAAAATATTGATCAGGGAAAGCTGGATGGAGCACTACGGGCGTGCCGACCCGAAGTGCCCGGGTTTGAAGACTTATACGCGGTGTTGCATCATCATTAACCAGTACTCCTTGTGTACGTTGATGGTTTGTTTTTATCCCTCTGTTAGCATGAAGCGAAACGCGCCTACTCTACTCAATTTCAATGCTGGTTCTACTTGTGCATGCGCGGTGTAGTTGCTGCGCGCACAAACCCCTTCGCTCATATTTTTCATTTCTTCATGTGATATGATGGTGTCCGTTTTTTATGGCTCATTTCATATCTACGCTATCATTTTTTATGTAGTGATTATACCTAGGCTTATTTGAATAAGTTAAACGCCGTTGTTCCACTATTCAAATGTTTGCCAGATTCTCATAGCTCTCCTTTACCGTTCATGTCCAAATGTACTGTGGTTCGCCGTGCGGCAGGTGTTTTGCTAGTCAAATGCGCTTCATAGACCGTCGGTTCTGTTCTTTTTGTATAGCTTTCTTGAAGAGATTGCTCCCCTGACATGTTTCACTTTTCGCTTTCTCATCGCGTTCTTCCTTATACAGCTATACACACATACAACTGGAGACAAACGGCCTAATCTTTCTCAAATTACTGTTCCTTTGCCGATGTTCCGCTGCTCCGGGATATATATGTCTATCTATATATTTGAGACGCGCTAACTTCTTCTTCTTCAAATACACACCTTTGAATACACCATATTGTTGATGCGTTTTCGCTTCATCTAGAGTTATCTAGAGTTCTATACGACATTTTATGATTATTATGATTATATTACTGCGATGGTTCTTCATTCTGTTTTGTTGTTTAGTGTTAATGATATTGTATTTTTT